AATAAGACAATTTTGAAAAACGTTATGTACGTGGTCGCCACAATGTATTCGTTCCCTTGTTCACCGAATATAATTCGTTTCTCTTCCGTTGAGAACTAAATCAAACAGTTTACCATTAGTTTACGGTTTTGACCACGCATAACATAATTTTACACATCCAAAATTCAATACAACAATTGAACCTCATCACTAAGCTACACCAGCTTCCCCTTAAGGCTGCTGCATTACGTACGCGCACAAACAGCATCACTTAAGGATGCATGAATGCTGCGCACGCAGACTCTCACCGTTGTAAATCCCCTGACTAAGACGCTCAGTACTTAATGAAAGTGTCGCAATCCATACATTTCTATTAACTTATTCCCGCAGTCTCCAATCTTAAAGCCGACCGCGTTGCAAGCGCGGTTGTATCCTGTGTGGCCAACTATCGCCACTTCAGTCACTGCCCTAATACCACCGTTCACTCCAGTTTGAGTGTCTTGAGCTTTTTGCAGCTAACAATACTAAAACTTCCTATTAACCCAAGGTCCAAGTCGCGACGCACATCGCTTTGAAAGCGAGCAATCGCTCCGTTATAGCAGAAAAGCATAAGTATCCCAAGTCTATGCCGCCCACCTCCAGTAACCTACCATATCGCAATACTCGCCTGCAGTTTCTCGGCGATTGTCGCCGATTTTGTGAGCTCACGACTTCATATTCGCAATAATCGAAGATCCCGAAAGAACCGAAACGTGGAAGTCGAGCATCTCCGTTACCGTATCGCTTAATGGCAAAAAGTAAACTGTATATGCTAGTTATGCCCAATAATACCCCAAGTACCCCAAGTCAACACCGCCCACCTCCGCCCCTCTCCACTTCATATTCCTAAGTCCCGAAAGAATCCAAACAGCGAAGTCCACAATCTCTGCTACCGTATTCCTTAAACCCAGAAGAAGCGCAAACTGCATGTATTGGTTATCCCCAATCATACATCATACGCTTTTTCGTACACATTCAACATTATTATAGACAGTGAGTAATCATTCCGTTGACTTTACCCGATAACAATCGGTATATATTATACTTCCTTAACACGTTTCGGACAGGTGCTACACATGGTGCAGCACGCGCGTTTGAGAGCTCTTATTAACGTTTACAGCTTTTCTTTTTGTCCAAGATTATGAAATCGAAGGCCAAGCTCCTTTTCAAATGACTCTGCAGAGCTATGCCGCCGATATTTGTCTAAGATATGAGGACAAATCGGACACAGTTGCAACGAACGGCCGCAATGCGAACAACGTGTGCGACGTCGCAACTTCTCTTTTTTCGTATTTCAAGGAGAAAACTGCAGTTTCAGTAATGATGTGTATTCTAGACAACGTAGATACTATTGGGCAATATTACAAACTGAGTGCTTGTTTCTATATCTCAAGAAAGCACAAAAGTCCTTCACAAGGACGAAATTCAAACGCTTCCAATTCACTCAGAACTTTCGGTGTAGAGCTTATCTCACATGCTGATATCACAGAGTAGCACACAGTCTATAAAATAAGCTCCCTTTATTGGCTCCCTTTATTTCCCTTACTGCTTTCAGCCACGCGCGATTTCGCGGTCCGAAACGTGTTGAAATACGGAAACTTGTGTTAATTCCATAACTACTCAGCCAGTAGTGTTGATAGCAAGTAACACTCACCTCCGGAGATCACGAAGATTGTCCATTTGGTTACCTTCCGATCAATAACCTTCGCCACGTTTCGTGGCAATAAAAGTTCCACGATAATTATTTCTCGAGATATAATACGCAACCTGGAAACCTACAATGTAATGTAAATGTAATGTGGAATGTACATCATTGAAAGAATACCTTCCAAGGTAAAAAAGTGTTCGCAATTTTCAATCCGAAATGTTCTAAACATGCGTATACGCGACTTTTGAAATGATTCTGAAAGAAGTGAAGTAAGCTTGGAAAAGACGAAGATGCTCTTGTAAAACTTGTTCATTCATATAATAAAAGACTCAAATACGTTTGATATGATGGAAAAGAATGTACCTCGCGCTACCTGCGATTTGTAGATATTGGGTTATAAAAAAACTTCTGCCAGTTATTCTCGTAAGCACCAAAAACGAACGCGAATGCAACAGGCTGCTATGAAATGTGATCTTAGTGCGCGATAGCCCTATCTACATAACACACTATACACGTTCAAAAAAACGACCATGAACCAAGAATAAATGCCCAAAAAAGTTTAAAAAATTCGTTCCGCTTAGGTCTGCGAAAATGCACATTTTTCAGATTATGCACGCGCAAAGCGTCCAGAAACTTGATATGAAAATCCATTCTATACCCTGTGCATTGACAAGATGAAACAATATCCGACTATTACCTGCCACGGTATTTAGATCTTTTTGCAAGCAATAAATAACTCATTGAATTCAAGGCTCAAAAAATGGAACACCCCACATTGTTCGAAGCGCAGCCAGGGCGCATTTTGAAAAAGAGCACTTGAACTTGCAAAGACTAAAGAGGAGATAGGAAAGAATACAGGCAAACGAAAAAACGATAAATTTTTCAATAAAAAGGAGTAAGTTGACAATTTCTTTACTGCAGTACTCGTGAAACAGCGCATACCTCGCACCATGGTAAGTTGCTTTACTCCTGCTGAGCTCTCACAAAGACGAAGCCAGAGCGAAGATGAACAAGCCCGAACTTCTAGGGAACCTCAAAGAGCTTATCCGGATATCAATCGACCGCCTCCCAAGTTCAAGCAATCAAAATTGCTAATTCTAATTTTTAATGCATTCAACAAATGTGTAATTAAAATATTCAAAGAATGCACTGGCAATTGCAACATCATGTAGTTTGTGTCCATAATTTGCAGTTAGAATCTTTATATTATATTAATAAAACAAACTAAAAACATGAAAAACGCGGAAAAAACGAAGTAGAATGAATGGATAACCGCTTCAGCAACATGAATAGACTATGATTCACATAACCAACAAGCATAGATACATAAAAAGAAAAAATACGAAGATAAGTGAAACGCAACCCACAACTATGCTCACCTATAACTGTACATGTATTTTCTGAGTTTCAAAAATGACTTAAGAGGAATGTACTTTCAATGGCCGTGCCCTTTTGATATGCGATGCATACTCTCTGAAGCAGCTTCGAAAGCGCATTCAGAATCTGCTTTCCTTTTCTGCGGAGCGCTCTACTGAAGAGAGTTGTGGAAGCCTGAAAATCTTTATTGGAAGCGATCCTTAAATTAGAGCGCTGCTGTGTGCTTCGGTGGTGCAGTGATGCAATCGTCAATTGTTGCCATTGAAGGAGAAAGGCCAATGATTTGAATCCAGTGCAGAGCGTACCATTTTGCACTACGAATGTGAGTTTAAAAACCATTTTAATTAGTCTCCAGACACATACTTTAATGCCCTTGGCAAATGTGACTCAAGGAAAAAGCCTTCGCGCAATTCTCATGCACGTAACTACCCATCAAGTTACTAGGAGAACAACATTGGAGTGGCGCTTCAAATAAATCCAAAACCTTTCAAATGAATTCAATCAAACGGATTCGAACTACCTTTCACCTTCAATGGCAACTACTAACCTTTACACCAATGCACCACCAACGCAAGTAGTAGCTTCCTCAAACTCAAGGAGTGCCCCAAAACAGGATATTCAGGCCTCCATAACTCTCTTCAGAAGAGCGGTCCGCAGAAAAGAAAAGCAGATTTAGAATTAGCATTCGAAGCTACTTCAGATGGTATGCATTGCATATCAAAAGCCCACGGCCATTGAAATTACTTCCCTTGTCAGAAGCATCCACAAAGACCTTACATATGAGTAATAAACAAACTACGAACAACAAACAAAGGAAAACAGTTTCAGGTACATGAATAGACTATGATTCAGATAAGCAACAAGTACAGATACATAGAAAGGAAACAGACAAAGATAAGTGAAACCCAACCCGTAAGTACGCTAAGTAATAAATGTACACGTATTTTTGAGTATCAAAAATAACTCAGTGGCACCAGTAGAAACTTTTCATATAATAATAAAACAAATTAAGAAAGGAACAAACGCAAGAGACGAGATAGAATGAATGAATAACAATTTCAGCAACCTGACTAGATTATGATTCAGATAAGCAACAAGCATAAATGCAAAAAAAGGAAATGTACAACAGTAAGTTAAACCAATAATTATGCTAAGCAGAAAGTACACGTAAATCATGAGTATCAAAAATAACTAAATAGCACCCATAATAGACGTACATTGTGTGGCCTAATTTACAAAGGACGAAAAATATTGAGCTCCAAACAACATTTGCAAAGCGTTGAGCTTGTTATTTCAGGCTCTCTTCTGCCAGCTATTCTATTAAAAGAAGTAATCTCTATAAAAGTTTTCAAGCTTTTTGTTTTATTTTCTTAGTCTCAAGGATTGTTTTTCATGATGTGCGAGATCAAAATGACTATACCAGATCAAATAGGTAGATTCCAAATTCTTATCCAACTTGAAATCTACAGAGGGAATTATTGACAGAGAGTTTTACCGAAAGGAAGAGTTCACAAGATGGTTCCTTATGAAAAAACCAAATCAACGTAGCTGAGAAAACCTTTTGAACATATGAATGCAAAAGGTGCTAACTTTTTTCCGACTCTCAGCAAATATAATCGTAAACAAGAAAGGAACAAAAGAAGGAGAAAACCGAAGATGACATAAAACGCTAAGCAAACTGCAGCGGAAAGAGGAAATCGACGAATACTTACTAAAGATGGTCGAAATGACAAACTGTCTTGCTCGGTGCACATTATTTTTCGGATTTTGTAACACCGAAAAATGTAATAATCTACGCCATAATGACCTATTATGACAAACAAATTCTTTCACTGGAATGAAGAGAAGTGACCTGAAACAGCCAAAACAAACAAAATTTCAAAACCATTGCGAAACCATTCTACTCGAAAACTGAAAAGAGGGATGAGACAAGGATAACAAATGACCAACCCCTATTTTACGCGACGTCCACGTCCACGTCGTCCGGTATGTCTTCGGCCTCGATGAAGCCGAGTCTGCGGGCTGGTGCGAAGAGCCTTTGGAAGTTTGGATGCATATCGAGATCGACAGGCCATTCTGCGCCGATAGCTCCATGGTTCTCTCGCAGATGTCCATAGATTTTGGATTGTTGATCACTCTAAAATCAAAATCTCATGAATTTGTAAGGTAAATGCAATCTCAAACGCCTACCGTATAATCGCAGAGCCAGCAGAAGTGAATATTGCACATCGTGCACTGCATATGGTAACATCCTTCGCCTTTTTCAATGATGGCACCACAGCCTTTAGTTGGACATTCACGTGCTTTGCCTTCATTTTTGCTGAGATACGCCTTGAGTGAAGCTACGCCATCAGCTGTAAGAGAATTGTTGAAGAAAAGGTGAGGAAAGGATGAAATTTGTCCAAATCAAGCTTACTTCTGAGTCTAGAATATTCTTCACATGTCAGATTTTCATGAGGTTCCAACATGCAGCCTGTGCATCTCTCTTTCTTACATGATTCGCACTGGAACACGCCAGACTTTCCAGAAACCTGAAATTGATGAATAAATATGATGATCTGATCATAAAGATTAACATCTTCACACATCGAAAAAACCAAAGCAGTCAGGAGTTGGGCACCGCTTTAAATGCGAATGTTTTCGGATAATACAATCAAGACTGCAGTCAATCAAAGGTCGCAATTTTTCAACGCTTAGCCAGGGGAGACGCTCTTCTCCAAGAATGAGCTCCTAAACAGGAATTATTCAGAACAACAAACGCAAACAATGGATGATAGACCAATTAAGCAACCTTGAGGTCACTGACAGCAACGGGCTTTTCGCAGTCATCATAAACGCACCGTATGGGCAGCTGTCTGTTCCTGATCATCGTTGACACCTATAAGCTTGTAAATAAGAATGCATCAGCAATTCAAAAACTCAAGACCTCACCTGAAAAGTGATGCACTTCAAGCAGTAGTAGTGACCACATTCGAGGGAATAAAAAGCATTGCTAACTGGTGATAAACACACAGGACAAGTTGGTTTTGAGGAGACATTCGTTGTGGAACTCGACCTCACAAGCTGTAACGTCCAGCTTTTTTTGATAATATCACTATACGCATTTGGGAAAAGAGCTAAAAGTTGCCGTAAGCTGAATATGTAACCTACCCGTTCGTCAACCTCTTCCAGATAATTTGTCAACAGTTCGTACTGTTCTAGAGTCCCGGAGAACTGAATGCCCACATTGTCAACGAATTCCAAATCAGCTCCACCGCAGATCTCCCTATAGACATGTATTATCAACCTAATTCATCAACAACAAAAAATTTTCCACCCACCTCAGTCTGTCTATGCCGACGCCGAAGCATAGTACGTCACGCATGTAGAACAAATAGCGCGGTGGTCCAAGAGTAATCACTTCGTTCAGCTTGAAAGCATGTCTGAAATAAAGCAGTGATAGACAACTCAAAAAGGTCAATAGAGCTTTTCAGTTACCTGTTTTGAGCGAAAAATTTCAACTTTTTTTAGCCAAATAGGCCGACTCTCCGACTACTGTGATTCGTTCTCGCAAGAGATCGACATCGATGACAACTTTACCGCGCAACTTCTCACGAACAAAATCAACGTATTTCGCGCCGTGTCTATAACCTTGGATCAAATGGAGAAGATAAAATATTTGATATTGTAGCTTACCCATATAAGAGGCGTCCATAAACTTCATCAGAGCAATTTATATAAGTGCCTTCGAACAATGATACCAAACGCGTAGCCACCTCCTGAACACGCCTAAAGTAGAAAATTTAGATTTTCTCATTAGAAATACAATGCTCTGCTTATGAAGCTCAATTTTGAACTTTTACCAAAAGCTTACCGTACTGGCCATCCTTGCACGCTCAGCTCTCCTATACTGGTATCAACGTCATCGCAGTTATTGTGGCCCTTATTCCATGTTAAATCAACAATTTTCAACTAGTTCATTTCCTCGTTTGTGGCGTGAGCTGCCGCTGTTTCTTCGTCGTTGAGTTGCCTACATTAAGAAAAATTCAAGAAATAATTACAACCATAATCTTCGACCTCACCTTATAAAAGAATCACAAGCAAGTCGCACCTCTTTTGTAACTAGGACTGTTATCCAGTAAACTGGCTTTATAAATATCTAGCACATGATTTACTCAGATATTGCATATAAGCACCTCCTAACATCATAGAAGAAACTTTACAGACCTTCTGACATGCACTGGACCTCTCATCATAGAGTTTCGCAAACTCAGGCGTGCCTTCCGTAAGAAAATCCACCAAATCTAGGCCTTGTTCCACATCATAAAATATCAGATTTGCCTCACAGGGAGTGGCAATATCCTCATTATCCCCACATCCAGCACATGCCAACGCCATGGTAACTCATTGGAGGAAAGCAGCTGAAAATACAAAATGTCCAAAAGCTTTATCACCAACAATTACGAAGCTTACAGCTCTCCATTCCGTACGTAACAAAGGAACATGTCCATCCCACAAGCGACGCCTCATCAGATACTCAGCTACGGCGCGACTGATCTGTTGTTGTACCTTCACACTCAAACTAAAAACCAAAACACATGCAAATCCGTAGAAAGAGTGGAAACAAATTTTCTCACTCATTTCTACATGTGGTAACTCTTTCCAGATAAGCACGAACAATGTGGATGCCATTCGGCTCAAGAAGTTCTCGAATATGATAATCAAATTGCCGATCAGATTGATAGCAGTTAGATATGTACTTAATCGACTTCTGAAAGTTCTCAATTGAGAAAACTACACCTGAAACATGCGAAACTAAAATTTTCACACTTACAATATCACTCCCAAACCAGGTATGCCGCTCGGCTTCTAAATACCCGTGATAGAAGAATACATCCGACGCCAACTTAGCGTCACTCGGAGTGTTGAACTAAAAGTTGCACATCCCACAATATAGCAGATGAGGAAGTGACCCGTATACCTGCACGACTCCTACCCCACTGGATGGTCGCTTATACCACTTGACACGAAAAGTCATAGTGACGTTAATTGTATTCTTCCAACCATCACATCCAACAATGAAAATTCGAGGAAGATACTAAATTATACGCCGTAAACATCGCACAAAATTCATTCGATCGTACATCAGCCACTTTTCGACCACAACTTGAATGCGTTCGCAGCGCTTTTTCACTATCCTCAACCGTAGCAAACTGGATAACCGCCGGATCTTTGAACTTCACCATCCTATTTGAAAGAAAATAATTCGCTAAAACACGACGCTCGCTCTGCTTCAAGCGGCACGCCTAAACACGAACAAATTGATGCAATCTGCTCTGCTTGTTAGAACAGGAGGACTTACACGCACACTATTTTTGCAGAAGAAACGACAATAGTTCCCAAGATCTTCATCCTTTGGTACATCGACTATAAGTGACATGGATTTTCCGTTTGGTAGTAACTCGGATATTCCTCCGTCGCTGACAGCTATCTGTATGAAAAAAAAATTCATAAACTCAATAGATTCTATAAACATAGAATAACAATCGCAATACCGGGTAAACAAAAAAAAAACAACCCACTGTATTTTTCGATCCTAGTAAAGCAATTTCAAGTTTTTCTCTCATCACTGCACTTCGCTTTTCTCCAATTTTTTTCAACAGCGCATCACGCAACATGAAAGTCTCAGCTGCGTAGTTTACATCGGGATAGTACACCTACAAATGCATATTATCTTAAGAAGTGAATGAAATCTTGAACAACTAACACAACTTAACAAGGATGTGTCCTGTTTTTTCAAAAGAGAGCTAATTAAATCAATCATTCTCCAATTCAGAGAATCATAAACTGCTCCCTGATCGAAAACATTAAGCAAATACACTTTTACATCCAGCGTGCAGGCAACAGCTCACGATTCTTCATAATGATGATTACATTCTAAATATACTCACGCTAACGGTAAACTGACGAAGTACATCGCTAACTTCATGTGCTATATCAGCACGTGCAAAAGGATCAAGATCCTCAACCTAAAATGATATGCATAAAATGTCTTTTCTTTTCTAAGGAAGTAAGACACGCACAGTATAAGAATTATTTATATTCCTCCTGCACTTTTTCCTTACATAATTGAGTAACCGTTGCCGCAACTTGGGTCCTATCACAAAATCAGTTCGTAGATCTTGCTCGCGCATCTGCAATAAATGCTCTTCATTTTGCAGACTTTTTTTAGGTGTAAGGAATTTCAACCATTCATTACTTCGAAATTCTAACCTTCACTTCCCTCATGACACCGGGATGCGGTAATAACTTCTCCCAATTTACTTTTACATCAGCTTGTACGTTTACTTTACAATGAAACAAATCCTTCGACGAACATCTCTTCGGCACCTGTTCCGGATACCACATACGATATACTCTTTCCGCAGGAATCTATAATTTTTGCTCCAAAAAATGCAAATAATAGGAGAGAATATACAAACACAAATAAACAAGATATACAAAACCGTACCTGCACAGGCTTTGTTTCTTCTAAGCTGAGACTTTCTAGACTTCCCTGCTCACTAATTAATGAGCAGATTCGCTCCGCTGAAATTCTTGACCTTTCGGTATCCACCCGTACAATAGTGTGAGACACATCCGGTTCATTCTAAAAGTCACGAGTGCAGAAAAGTAAGGAGCTAATGTTATGCTCACCGCATCATCAACAGTTTCCCACATGCAGAATCCTTCATGAATAACTGGCCACTCATTCCTCAACTGCAATGAGCTTCAAATATTTTATCTTCAAGACCAAAAACTCTCATGCTTACCATTACTTTTCCGTCCGAGCAAAAAAATCCTTATCACAAATATATCGAACGACCGACCAATCGATCAACAGAACTAACTAGAAGCAAAACAAAAGAACAAAAAAAACGATGTAGAGCGAATGCATAATAATTTCATAGACATGAAAAGATCATCATAGTTCAAAAACACCACAAGGATTGATATAATAGCACACACAAAGACTAACCATATAGCTAGTATAAGCTATATGGTATAGCTATAGCTATACCATATAGCTTATACTCTATAGCTAACGCATGAGTACTTACAGAGTAAGTACCATTTGAACCTGATGTAGAAGAGATCGAATTCACAAAGCAGCGGCTCATTTGTCTGAGAGCTACCAGCTCACTTGCAAACGAATGCATTTATGCTTCGATCCCATCGCATAAACACCTACTGCATCGCGCCCACTCACTCAAATTGGCGATTCGTTTCATATGCGGTCTATGACGTCAAGTACGTTTTCTCTGAAGATCAGGTTTTGGGCGCTGCCTGCCGGAAAGAGATGAGGAAAGTTCTCCTTCGTTATGTAGGAAAAAGGCTTCGGATAAAAAGAAAAAATGCATTTCTTTCCTTCCGACCTCTACTCTTCCAAGAAGTCTAGTAAATAAAAACTGAATTAAGTGAAAGCGTAATGCTTCCAATTTGAACGTATCATTGATGTGATGTAGCACCCACGAGTTCGAGCTCCAAGGTAAATCACAGCTGAGCCGAAAAGAACAACGCGTTTCCCTGAGGTTAATACCGAGTCAGTCAACACATGATCAGAGGTGCGATAGGGGGAGCCAAGTCTCCCCCTACCTTCACTTTTGAGCTGATACAGAGTGACCACCTTCACTTTTGCGAAAAATTTTTTGTTGAATATAAAGAAGGAAAATAAGTAAAACAAACGCAAAAGGGATTATTGAAGGCATATACATATGTATTGCAGTTTTAGGAACTCGCCGTCACCCATCGGAAGCGAAGTCCATCACCGCCATGGACGCATCCACTTTTCCGCCTTTCCACGAAATCGGAGAAGATAGCTTCGGGACGAATTTCGATTTAAAAAGCTATGACCAAACGGTTTTCTTTAGGGCCAACAATTGACCCAACGGCCCTTTTTAGGGCCACAGATACGATGAACACAGCGGCATAAATATTCGAAATAAACGTGTCAATGAAATGGTGTATTTTGAAGTGAAACTCAACGACACTCTACAGATTTTATTAAGTAAATTTAGTTATGTCGTACTGCGAAGAAAGTAGGTCGATCCAGGAAGTATTTGCCGAGAACCAGAATTTTGAATGAAAAAAATAACCAGAAATCATGCAAAATTGCCACTGTTATAAACCAAGTGGTTGAAGATGTCAGCAACTGCGACTTCATAGGTTTTAAAGGGTAAGTGTTGCTCTAACAGATAGTGAAAGAATCGGGTCGATTTGAGCAGTGGTCGCTGAGAACGAGAATTTTGAAAAATTAGGCGATTTTAGGCTAATTTTTGACTGCTGAAATTTGAACTCCTAAAACTCTTGATTGTGAAGATGTGTGATGTTGCGACTTCATAGGTTTTCTAGGGTAAGGTTTGCCCTACTAGAATATATCTTACCCGTACCAATTCATCAAGTCACCGCCGAGATCCAGGCTCTTGAAAAAGCAGGTAAAAAACAGCTTTTTGAAATTCAACAGCTCGTAACTTCTCCAGAACTGCATGAATCATGTTGCGACTTCATAGGTTAGATTCCTCTCATCAAGGGCTTTCAGATGATATATGATGGGGTTTGGGGTCTTCTTCGATGTATGACCGGGGGGGGGGAGACTTTTTAGGCCAAAGTCTCCCCCTCGCCCATTTTAATGTATTGGCTGGAGGCCGCCAGGGGAGACTTTGGCCTAAAAAGTCTCCTCCCCCCCCCCCGGGCATATGCCGTAAGAGGCGCGAAACTCCCACATATTATATATCATCTGAAAGCTCTTGATAAGAAGAATTCAACCTATGAAGTCGCAACATGATTCATGCAGTTCTGGAGAAGTTACGAGCTGTTGAATTTCAAAAAGCTGTTTTTTACCTGCTTTTTCAAGAGCCTGGATCTCGGCGGTGATTTGATGAATTGGTACGGGTAAGATATATTCTAGTAGGGCAAACCTTACCCTAGAAAACCTATGAAGTCGCAACATCACACATCTTCACAATCAAGAGTTTTAGGAGTTCAAATTTCAGCAGTCAAAAATTAGCCTAAAATCGCCTAATTTTTCAAAATTCTCGTTCTCAGCGACCACTGCTCAAATCGACCCGATTCTTTCACTATCTGTTAGAGCAACACTTACCCTTTAAAACCTATGAAGTCGCAGTTGCTGACATCTTCAACCACTTGGTTTATAACAGTGGCAATTTTGCATGATTTCTGGTTATTTTTTTCATTCAAAATTCTGGTTCTCGGCAAATACTTCCTGGATCGACCTACTTTCTTCGCAGTACGACATAACTAAATTTACTTAATAAAATCTGTAGAGTGTCGTTGAGTTTCACTTCAAAATACACCATTTCATTGACACGTTTATTTCGAATATTTATGCCGCTGTGTTCATCGTATCTGTGGCCCTAAAGAGGGCCGTTGGGTCGCAGTTATTGGCCCTAAAGAGGACCGTTGGGTTAGAGCTCTTCAGTTGTCCGAAGTCATCATGAAGCTTTGCTCTATCGTAGAAAGTGCTGAGGCGTATATGCGTCCATGCCGGTGATGACCTCCAGTTCTCGCAGAAGGCGACGGCGATTTCCTAAAAATAAACTACATAGAATATGCTCTCAATACTTTCTTTTGCGTTCGTTTTGCTTAATTTCCTTTTTTCAGTTTCAGCAAAAAAATCAATACCCAAAAGTCCGAAAAAAAACCCAAACCAAAAAAAAACCCAAAAAACCCAGTTCAAAGTCCGTCCTGTGCCCCCCCCCCTCTCTACCCCCACCACCGGTCAACGTTTTTGAGAGGTGAGTGTCCGGCACTACCACCTTCATTTTTGCTGCCCTGTGGTAGCTGCGACCCCCCCCCCCCCCCGGTCGACATTTTTGGGAGGTGAGTGTCCGGCACTACCACCTTCACTTTTGGCAGCCAGTGGTAGCAGGGACCACCTTCACTTTTGGGGGACCCGGCTCCCCCTATCGCACCTCTGCACATGATGTGACTACAGATGATTCTTCAAAAGGAGAAGGTAGGTTTGGAATACAATACGTTTGGAAAAAGAAGGAAAACAGCAGATTTGAAAAAAAAACTCATAATTTATGTACATAGCAGCAAAAAGGCACTATATAGTGACTATTCAACGACATCCTTGAAAAGTCAATCGCAGAATTTTGATACAATGATTTAGCCCATACGCATTTCGTAAGAGTGCTGCCTGACCAAACGTGCTAGACGCACGAATCAATAATCATAACAATGCAAAGGAAACAGAAATAAAACAAACAGAAATAAATACGCACACAAAAAATAACACGCACACAAAAACCATAACACGCACACAAAAACCACGCACTCAAAAAAACCCAAACAAAAATTTAGGCCAACGTCGCGCACGATACGGTAGGCGGGCTCCGGCAACGAATTTAAAGGTGGCTTCAAAAAGTGCTAATCAATGCTTTGCCATTTTTTTGTTATAGAGGGATTCTTCATGACCTCTATTCCTCGACAGGCTATTTTTCTCTGGTTGCAGTAGGAAAACCGAAACTATGAAAACTATGAAAACTATGAAAACTGCATTAAGCAGCAAAAATTAGTTTGTCGCATTTCTTCCGCATGTTTTCTACTTTTTTTTATTTCCTACTTTTATTCATACGTTTTTGCGAAAGATCATAAGACTATCTATTTCAAGACCTTATTTTCTTCTAACCTTTCCATGCTCTATAACTTTCTGTCTAATCTTTTTCTAACCTTTTCATGCTGTATAACTTTCTGTCAATCGTCAGTCATCAACACTTTTCATTTGCGACATGTTGCAAATTTGCTAGTTCTGTTGCTAGTGTAGTAAATGGGTTCATGAATGTTCAGGCATGGGCTGGAACAAAAATCATGAGTACTGCTCATCGGGTTGTTGTCACTTTTACTCACATGGAGAGGTTACTTAGTCGAAAGCACCAATCCAGATGAGACATATATATATATGTCGAAGCGCTTAAAACGCTGATTCCAAATCTGTAGTTTCAAACAGCGGAGCGGTTTCGTAGAAGGAGTTATGAGGGTTGTTTTCCTCTGTGGCTGAGGCACCCTCCAGCAGATCTCCCCTTATCTATGTACACTTATAGGAGTACCAGATGGTACCTGGCCCAGTGGTAAGTAATTTGAATGAGGATTACAATAAGGATCATAACACTAGCGTTACTTTGGTTTTTTAACACTTCTAACTTTGAATAGCATCAGTATCATCAGAAATTTTATGCTCTAGGGCTCTGAAGCATTTGAAAGCTCAAATTTGCAAAAAGTGCGATAAAATTGCAGGCGAAGGTGGTTAAAACCTTAACACTCTTTTTATCAAGCAAGTCACTTACCATTAGGCCAATTGCCACCAGCTGGTACTCCTCTACAATGCTCATAGTTGGGAGGAGACCTGCTGGAGGGCGCCTACCTTGGAGGGAAACACCTCATAACTCTTTTTACAAAACCGCTCAGCGGCTAAGAACTATAGATTTGGAATCAGCGTTTCAAGCGCTTCAAAATGATATATGTCTCATCTGGATTGGTGCTTTCCACTAAGTATCCCCTCGTTGTCAGTTTTCTGTTCGTCATTGTCATCTTACGGCTTCTTCGTAGGCCAAATCATGATTTGTGCTTCATGATACTGAGCCGTGACCCGAGATTGTTAACAGTAAATTGCTGACGTTTCGGCAAGTCGCCTTTTTCAGAGCCTGGAATGGACTTGCAAACTATCCGACCTAACGTTTCTGCAACTATGCAAACAAAACTCTAAGGCTTAGGTAGACTGATAGTCAACTGCCTGACCCAGGTACGGAGCGAGTTCACGATTGATTAGGCTTCTTCTTTACGATTCATAACGCTTTTGGCATGGATCCAAAAGGCCTCTATAATCTGCGAGCCGATGTCTGTATTTCATGCGCCAGGATTTTTACTGATATGTTGAAATTTGTCTCCGCGTGTTTCAGCGTCTGTGAGTGGGGTGGAAGTTCGTGAGCTATCTTTGCCGTCTAAGTGTTCGTTAATGCGAACGTATAGCTGCCGCACTGTCTCGTTTATGTACTCGTCGCCGCAGTACGCGCCGTGATAAGATAAATGACCCCCACCATCATGCAGTCTCCGCAACTACCCTCAGGATATATAATGCAATTCTGCAGTGTAGTGCAACCGCGATCGTAGAAACGATTGCGAAAAATGCTTTTATGGTTATTAAGGGGTGTTTTCATTATTGCAACTGTATTTTTCAACCCACATTCCCTCAAACACTGTCGAAAAGCAGTGCTCACTTCATCGGAAGATAGCTTTCTTTGTTTGGCTCGGATGAGCTAATCGAAAGTGGACAAAAGCTTTCTCATTACTTGGCTTGCGGTACCGTTTTGGCATGCGCACACCCGAGGTATACAAGGTGTCCCAAAAAAATGTTAACACTGTTTGATCGTTGATAACTCCCTTGCTTTCATTTCTTTCGCCAAGCATGAGGCACCATTCTGTAGAGCGAGGTTCAACTTGAATTTATGGTTTGGAGCAAATCACCGTTTGTTCTTCCTCACTGTAAGATTACGGTAAGAACTTTCAACACGCGGAACAGTTGTGAAATATGCCATTTGACAAGAACGTTTTTTGCAAAAATCTGTTGTACAAGTGGTTTCAGCTTTTTTACGGTGTAATTGTAATGACGCATTTTTGACGCTGCTAGGAAGTCATATTACAGTTTACCTAGGATAGCTTTGAAAAAAAGCATCATAGTAAAGTGGAAATTTCATATTCGAAATGAGCGGCTTTCATTACCATGGAACAAGAGATTTTGGCTTGTTTGGCTCCGTTTCGAGGCAGAACCGGCCTTTGATGGCCTAAAATCTTCTTCGAAATTCCCACCGTAATCCTACAGTAAGGAATAGCGAACGGTGATTCGCTCCATACTACAAATCTAAACTGAGCCTCGCTCTACAGAATGGTGTTTCAAGCTCTGCAAAAGACATGAAAGCAGGAGAGTTATTAACGATCAAACAGTGTTAACATTTTTTTGGGGACACCCTGTATTACTCGCGCATTCAAAAAAGGCAACCATTCATCGCTAGGCCTTTCCCTCATAAGCTTAATGTGTGCAAATTGCTCATTAAATATTCTGAAACAATTGTCATGCGCTGCTTGTGTTAAACAGATCATGAAACAATCGTCAATGAACCTGCAATATAGCAGTGGTCGGCTTTCCAAGACTGGCGCTTCAATTCGCGATACTGGCCAGTGTCACTGCTTAGAGCGTCACACTTGAAATCGTAAGGATGATCATTATAAACTAAGCAGACAGCTTTCAAACAAGTATAGGTTTCAGTCGGAAGATGTTAATTTACGGTTTGCCATTGAAACGTAAAAATAGCGGAGAGTCATGGTGGAAGAAGGATCATAAGAACAATTCCTCTCTTTAACTTTTTCTGGAATATTCATACGAGCTAATGGTGACATTAAAAATATATATTTTAGAAAAGCGAATTCTCAAAGATTGGTTGCGTTTTCAGTTCTCTATGACCAGCACATTTCTCATCGTTATCGTAAGTTTTGGCGGATATGTTAGCTGCACTAAATAAGTGACCTCAGTGTGAGATTTTTAACGCTGTTGATGCACAGTATGTCGGGATAGCAACAAAAGCAAATGTGAGTTAATTTTCTTCCTACACATTATTCATCACTGCAATCTTGAGTACATTTAGCTGAAAAAAGTCTTCTTTTAAGGAGCTAGAGTGTTTAAAGCGGCGCGGATTCATCGGAAGGAAACCCGTGCAGTATGTCCCGGTGTGCACTTATTTTTTTGCTTATATGCTGTTTGGTTCAATTACGTGAAGTTTTTACTACTATTCGTTTTGGCACTTCAAAATAAAGTCTATCGTAGACATATTTTGCAATGAAGTTATGGCGCTGCTCCTTCGCTACCATAACACTGTTCCCCTCGAGCACATTTGAAGTTCTTATTAGTCTAGGCGAGTTAGCGTGCCAGTTTGGTGGAAAATCGCACACCATCGAAACAACCAGTTTTGTAGGCGCGAAAACAAATTTTGCTACATCCTTTTTCAGTCTAGTTCCACTTTTGAAGAAAATTGAAATAGATCACAACCAGTACTTGCTTGCAAAGTAGCATCTTGCTCATGTAGGAATCTGTCTATGGTGGACGCTCTTACAGTCAAACGCTATTTTTTACGGATCCGTGTTCGGTTTATTGCTTCGCTGAAACTTTCCTTGACAATTATTTTAGACGATATTTTTATCGATTTTATTTGCTTTCGTTCCTTATGGCAGCTGTTCGTTATTTCCCCGACGAGGCTGAATCAATTTACTTTCCCATATGTTTCGCTGTTCATTTTGCAGGTGACTCATATCCTACTAGATATCTTCCTCATGAGTAAAAATATGATTAACTTGTACCAGTACTACAAACTAATCTCGTTACTATCACGAAGGTATCACTCAGATTTTGCGCTTTCTGTGACACTCTGATTTTTCGCGCTATTAGAGCTGGTGCAGTCTCCTATTTCTGCAAGCATTGTTCATCATCTTGTAAGATAGGCTTGTTCATGGTTATTAGTCAATTATATCTATACACATTTTCAAAGAATACTTCTGTAGAAGAACAACGCAAATAAAAGTCTCATAGCGTAATATTCCCTGCTTCAAAGAAAATGTGAAATAAGTGTAAATTTCAACTACCGTTCGAGATTCTATTCATTTCTAGACAGTCATATACTCAGCAATGAGAGGAGATTATTTGACAGATCTCACAAGCGGAATGACCCGAAGAACGAAGTTATCTCGTGCTTCCTATAAATGGACAGGAACAAAACGACATAGATTTAAAAAATCAGCAAATGTTTCGCTATACGTACAGCAGTGTACTTGACCAGACGTTGACCTAAGGCACGCGTCATACTTGATCCGCTTTATCTGTTTCATCCAGTTTGCCATTGGTCAGTTTGTCGGTCAGAGGAAGAACTATTATTTTGAAAAAATCGGTTGAAACAATTGCTTTTATTTGACTCATAACTTTCTTACAGCCAGCTTAGCTCTTGACTAGATGTACAGCATTGCTTCGTTTTTGTTGAAGAATAGCTTAATGGCTAGGAGCACTTCGTAGTAACTCCTAAGTATAATATAACCTCTCACAATCACTGCGAATTCTTTGCTTAAACAGAATAGGCCGCGCATTCGAACAAGAAGATTAAGTTGCTAAGACTCGACTGAACTTTGTACAAGTAAAACGATTTATTTAATCAGATTTACGTTTTCGAAAGCTAGCGTAAGCTACTAAACAGTAGCTTCACTATGAAATAAACCTTGAATGACAATTTATGGCAGCAATTGCGGCAGTTCAAAAGCTACATCAACCAGATATAGTCTCCAGAGAAATACTTGTGGCCCACTCATAGATCAAAACTTGGCAGTACTCTTGCTGCAGCTTTTACTATAGCATGTAAAATGGCAGAATTGAGTGGCCGATATTGTAAAAGGACTCAACAGCAGCAGACATTGCCGATAATGCAGCAGGACACACAGCAACACTGTGAAGATGAGACGGTGGAAACTCCGGTGGAAACTGGAGCCGCAGCGGGAGCGGCAGCTGGTGCAGCATAGGTGGGGGCAGCTGGTGCAGCATAGGTGGGGGCAGCTGGTGCAGCATAGGTGGGGGCAGCTGGTGCAGCATAGCTGGGGGCAGCTGGTGCAGCATAGCTGGTGACAGCTGGTGCAGCATAGGATACGGAGGGGGCAGGGGCAGCATAGCTGGTGACAGCTGGTGCAGCTGGTGCAGCGTAGGATACGGAGGGAGCCGGAGCAGCATAGCTAGTGGCGGCTGGTGCAGCATAGCTGGTGACAGCTGGTGCAGCATAAGAAACTGCGGGAGCAGCATAAGATGTAGCAGCTGGAGCTGCATAGCTTGTAGAAACAGCAGGTGCAGCATAAGACGTTGCAGCAGGAGCTGCATAGGAGACAGACGGTGCGGCATACGATACGGAAGCGGCTGGGGCAGCGTAGGATGTGGCGGCTGGAGCAGCAGGAGCAGCATAGCTTGTGCTTACTGCGGGAGCAGCATAGGATGTAGCAGCTGGAGCTGCATAGCTTGTTGGAGCAGCAGGAGCAGCATAGGATGTAGCAGCCGCGGGTGCAGCGTAACTCGTTGCTGCAGATGGAGCAGCCGCACCAGTGCCACAGTCGGCGGCAGAGCCAGTGCCTCCAGTAATACAGCAAACAATACCAATACATTGCCTCTTGGTTCGTGATGTCTTGTCTTTGAGCACTTTTCCACAGGCCGGTGTGAAGTTGTAGATGAGCAGAATGGCAACAAGGCAAGCAGTTGTCTTCATCCTGAAATTTGAGATAGCGTCAGCAGAGTTTACTGTAACTCCAAACTTGCTGAAGAAAGATCATGTTTTTCCGAAAAGGACAACTAAATTCCTTTTAACTAATTTGGCCATTAAATATTGGAGTGCTTTCTTCTTTTTTTCCAGTGTAATAATAAGTTTCAGAATGTCTCTTATGTGACTAGTGAAGAACATTTATGCTTTTATGGATTTGTAGCCACTTTTTTAGAAAATACCTTTCTCTTCAGTTATACTTTTGATGCTTTGCCACGAGAATAGAAAAGATGACTAGTCGTTAATCTACCAATAAGGTAAGTGTTTTCAATCGTGCGCATTCCAAACGGCATCTATGCTCGTACAGCACTAAAATACAAATCTTTTATAGCTGAGTTACGCTTTGTGTTTGAGAAACGGTGGATTAATAGATCCTCTTTACTTCCCGTCCCAAAAAATGCTTAAATCTCGTTCATAATTGATATAAAGAACACTTATGAAAGAATTCATTGCCAATTTACACAAATTGCTTCAACTGAATCATTTTTTCAAGAAAAATGATTTTTAAGTGCTTTGAGGTACTTCTAGTTTTCACTGTGTTTTAGGCCTCATTTGCAGCAAATACGTACTACATAGAATTGAAGAGGAATCATTTCTTTAGCGCAAGAAGCTTGTGCACAATACAGCATGCTTCATGAATTCACTACATCTCCTTATGATGCACAGTACTACTCGCACTGAGAAATGTATGGAGTTCAAGTCAGGCTTACCTGTGAGTGCTTGTAGACGTGCCGAAGCGATGAGGAGTTTGCAGTTTCTCTCTACTTTATATAGTTCATCTGTTTGTTCTCCGATCGATGACAGAAGTGTAAATAAGTAATTACGACTGGGTAAAGGTATTCTTTATGACTAGAATTTCAGCGCCTCGACGAAAAATGATATTTGTGATCTGTTTACTTAGTGAAAACTAAGCGACTCCTGACTAACGTAAAATCTAACTTAAGAGTTTAACACTCTAACCTAATCTTTTTGAGTAATCAAACACTTTCTGCCTAGCGGGCGAGCCTTCAAGTGCAATAGTGCAAACGGCTTTAGAATTAAGTAAACTGCAATTCTTCTCGTTGTGGGATTTTTCGCTTAGCACTTGTTTTCTGAATGCAAGAAGTGTCTTTTGAGGTTGTCGCTAAAGCATTGAGCACTTTTCTCTAATTTTCGCTGGTACTTAAAGCATATAGCCATATTTAAAATAGTTATAACCATTATGTAGCTAACCTTTTATTTTTTCCTATATATTAAATCCATTAGCGATCGCCATCTGATATAGAGTTTGCTAACATCAAGTACTACCTTGTTAAAAAACCTTTTTTTGTCGGCATTATTTCTGCACACTATGCCCCGCAAATCCAGCATATACCTAAATGTGGAAAATTTATGATAGAAAGATGCGGAAAGGAGACTTCCAACTTCTACGAAGCCTAAGTTTTGCAACAGTGTGCCCAATTGATTCTATGGCAATTTTTTATGTTTATCGTCAAGTCATGCGTAACTCATACTCAGTTATTTGCGCTAAGTGACAAACTACATCGACGCTCATTCCCAGTGATTTCCTTGTTTTCTTATCTCTTTCATTTTTGTTGGATATATGCTCTCAGTAGAACACATTTTTACAGTTTGCCAGGCTAGAGAGTTTACTGAAAAATTATTGGTAAGGGAGCCGTAGCTAATTAATTATAATCGCGCCTAGTGCTGTCTCACAGTCCACTGATTTGAAAATGACTCGAAGATATGTTATCACTAATTGCAGCAAGCAACTTCGACAGTAGGTTAAGAACCACAAAATAATCGCCGCTGGCAGTAAAAGGTGAAGAGCGCGACAATCCATGATCCTTGTACTTGAAAATTTTCGTAGATAAAGACCTAGTAAATTTTAGAACACTTTCATGTTTGCAATGTTAAAGAAGCTTTGCACTAACAGCAGCATAGTTTCCGTTAGCCAAAAGCTACAGAACAGCCAATGATTTGCTGGTTTTATGAGTGTGGTCGTAATCTCAATAACTTTCTTTTGAAAGTCTTTTAGATAATCGTCGCACACTTTTATCTGACTGATGATGCAGCTTTATACTTTGCTTTGCACGCATACATGATGTTCAATGCAGAGTACACCCACTTGCAGCTGGGCCTTAATAGTTTAATTCCCAATCTCTGCAAGAATCCCTCATTAGAATGCTACAATCCCAAAATTACCCCAAAATCCGCAATAGTTTCCTTATCAATGAAGTCATGCACTGTTTTGCTATTTGCCATACTCTAGCGTAACAATTACTATGCAAGACATAGCAACATTTCAGCTGCGCTGATTTTGTGCGAAAAAAAGAAAAATGTAAAAAAGCGTCTCTGAGAGCTGGGCACATAAGACTTGCTTGTTCTAAGCATTGCTGCAACTTTGTCTCTTAAGTTTTTTACCCAACATTCAAGATATGGAAGATAAGCAAAATTTGGGACTTGCCTTATTTTTTCCTTTGGATTGCATTAAGTGTACTCGTTCGTTTCACATGGAAATCATGTAAATCGCTGAGCATTTTCTCGAATAAGGTAAAAAGCGCTTCATTGAAGTTTGTGGAGTTGCTGAGCTTTAATTGTAGATAAGACACACTTTTACACACTCAAGGCTTAGCTTCTAACTCAGAAGTTCTGTGCTTGTTTTATTACATTACTTATAAGGTGCCGTAGCTCTGGAGTCCGTTGCGCATCGCCATATTTTGGTACAAAATGGAGGAATTCTGAATTCAAAAGCACAGCTTTGGTTGAACTCGACGAAGCTCTTCAACAATACCCCTCACGGAATGTGCTATATTTCCGCGGATGCCGCGGTCCGCGACATTTCCAAGATTGCGCAACATCCGGGAGTGTCGTGTCGCGGAATTCCGAAAATGTCGCAGATTACGGACTTCCCGGAATACCGCGACAATCACGAAATTTTGCACATTCCATGGGTGGTATTGTACCTATACATATATATATATATATATATATATATATCAGTGGCGTACCAAGGGGGGGGGGCGGGGGGGCGCACCCCCCCCCCCCCCGAGAATGGGTCGCGAAATTTTTGAAAGTTACTTATATGGGTTACAAAAATGTGCAAGTGACTTGTTTATTTTTGTAAATAATTAGAATAATTTTTAAAAATTTTTAAAAATTCTAATTAGCTTTGTAAAAAAAATTTTTCGGGGGCGTGGCTCACGCCACGCCCCCTTTTTCCAGATTTTAGGGGTCGGGGACACTCAAAAGTTTTGAAAAGCATCCCAAACATTTTTTTCGGAGTGCGTGGCTAACGCCACGCACCTTCTTTACAAAAAAATTTTTGTCGCGCCCCCCCCCCCCCGAGCCGAAATCCTGGGTACGCCACTGATATATATATATATACAGGGTGTCCCAAAAAAATGTTAACACTGTTTGATCGTTGATAACTCCCTTGCTTTCAAGTCTTTCGCCGAGCTTTAGGTACCATTTGGTAGAGCGGGGATAAACTTAGATTTCCAGTATCGAGCGAATCATCTAACTACTTCCCAGCATGTGTCAAAAACGTGATTACACTGTCACAAAAGCTGAAAACACTCGTAAAAAGTAGTGTAGTAAAATCAGCGTGCGCGAAAACCCTAGTATACGATTTTTCAGATTTTTTGAATAAAATTTTGTCAGAGTGCTTATTTCACGACGGTTCCACATGCTGGAATTTCCTACCGTAATTCTACAGTAACGAGGAGCGTTGGATGATTCACTTGATACTGTAAATCTAAGTTTATCCTCGCTCTACAAAATGGTACCTAATGCTCGGCGAAAGACTTGAAAGCAAGGGAGTTATTAACGATCAAACAGTGTTAACATTTTTTTGGGACACCCTGTATATATAGAAATGCCCGCTTGGACAAGAATTTCACGAATCTTTTTAGATTTCGATTACGGTACGCTTCTAACTTACTTACTGCTTAGTTCATTGTACAATGAGTGACATATCATAAACCGAAATGATTCTTATATTCTTACTTCTATCGTGTCCAAGTGGGCGCTTGCACATTTGCACTTTATGCTTGTTAGCAAAAATCTACTCCACTGTATATATCAGAAGATACCTTTATCGAGCTGAGTCGAAGGTGCCATCGTTTTCGGAATTCATCTACTCTGAATCAAGATAAGGCGATGCGAAGCGAATGTCGTTGAGGTTCGCTGAGTTCGTTGATTTTCTTGACGGATTATAAGCGGTAGCTATTTTTGGCTTAATTATGGCTTACTGTGCTGCTGATTTTCTTCAGAGAAGCAGTTTCTAAGAATTTATGAGGCTTGATGACGATTAACTGCATGCCACGATAGGTTCCGTTAAAGGTTTGAGCGCTAGTACTAGATTAGGCTATCAATACTCGAAGGTTAAAATTACTTGCTTTTGATTGATATGTGTGGGAAATTCTTTGTTTTCATGTAAGCTCGTCCATCCTTTCATCCTTTCATCGGAAAGTAAAATACTAGCTCCCCGCACTTTTGAACGTTCTCTGTGGTTTTTGAAAGTTGACAATAGATTAAATTTGCTCGCAAAGAAGTGCACGTTACCTTCAGCACTCTAACCGGTACACTTCGTAGCAATATCGAAAGAGTCTTACCCGTTTCAGTTAGAGCGAAGTTAATGTTAGCAAAGATATTCATACAGTGTTTTGTAGTCTGAAAATTTCAAAAAGCGATTAATTCAAGCTAACATCGGCCGAAAAGCTGTCATTTCGACTTCGATCCCCCCAGCTCGAATGAACTGTGACAGTGGTCACTTATTGTTAGATCTCACTCAATTCATAACAAAATTTTTCTACGCAAGGGAAGTTTTGTTTGATTAAGTACAAGCCTCTAACAAACTTTCACTTCTTTTTCTATTGGATAACTCTTCAGATGGGATTTTCCAAGAGCTTGACTACGTATTCAACTAAAGTAGACCAAAAGCATGCCGAGCCCATCAGCCTTGAAGGTGTCCTGAGGGATTTTTGCGCAAATTCGAGATGTAAGATCTAAGAAATTGAAGATTTGAGTTAACTAAATGTAAAAGCTTGGTGTTTGCGTCAACTGGATAGTCTGACCTGATTGGCTTTGCTTAGGTTTCAAGCATAAAAGCTGTGAAGCTCAGAATTTCGCTTTCAATCTGTATAACTTGTCAACAGCTGAACCGTGCATCCAACCGCTTCACTTATTTTTAGAACATACCCAGAACTACGCTTTGAAAAGAGTGTAAATTATTCCCTCCTATACTCTTTTTCGTGTTCCCCGAGTAGAGTAAATAAAAGTAAGTAAATACCACTCAAGCTGTTTCTGAGTAAAGCTGCGTACTATGAGTGAAAGCTCTGGTTTTAACTTTAGCCAAATGCCGTAATCGGAGATCTTGTGTTTTCTTTTTGCGCCATAATTACTGTTGTAAAAATATTTTATCAAATAAGAACAAGAGCAACATGAACGATTAGAATTGATTTTTGATAAAAAACGTAATTCAGTGTAATCTCATTACGAGCCAAGCACCTAGCGTCCCTAGAAAATCATGTTTATCAACAAATGTCTCGGTTTTTAGCGCTGCATCTGTTAAAAGATGAACGATGTTGACTTTCTGGATTACCTTTACCAACCGTAAGGAATTTCCATTTTTTGTTTTACTCGGAGAGTTGACGTTTCATGGTGCTTTGCGGTGTATGTACTATGTTGACAAAGAGATAAATGCTAGCACAAAAGTCTAGTTGTGTTTTTTGTTCAAGTTTTACAGTTTAAGTTAAGACAAGCTATCACCATTGGGATGAGAGGCATGCTGATAACAAATTTGGTAGCGCCCGCAGCATCATAAGTCACAACCAGAGTTGAGCAAGAAATCAGGCCAAGTCTTTCAAAAACGATCCTCCTCCCCCAAGAACGTCCTACGACTTCTTCATCCTACCCTTGACCTCCGGAACCTCAAAGTGTGATCCTCTTTCAGAAAGTTTCAGGTTTTTGAAACTGTACGCCCGCTTATCTGTGACTGTACTTTACAATCACACGTGGTTTGACGGCTGATTTTGATGTGAATCGGCCTATTGAAAGTGCCATAAATTTTTAGGGTTTTGGCGTACGGCTCCAAAATTCGCAGTAGCAAGAAGAAGCTATGATCTCAATATTCACACCAGGGATGGAGCGATTTTTGGATATTGAAGGCAAGTTAAGGGGGTCACGCGCAACCCCTAAACAGTTCAGGCGGCCTGACCTTTTGAAGGGTTGCGCTTGACCCGATTAACTTTATCACAGAAGGTGCTTTTCCGCCTTAGTTTTATATGATTCGCTAGCATAAACTACAAAGATTCTACGACAGGTGTTTGAGCTTATCTTGACTAGTTTTGGTTTTGTGGTGATCGGTGGAGTTGAAGCATTCGAAGTAGAAAGCGAAGCGGTGATTAACATTTTGGCAGCACTTCTTAATCTATTATTTGAAAGCGTTAAGAAATCCAATTTTACCATAGACTGATAAAGAGTAATACTCCGTTATGAATACAAAAAATCTGACTTCGTTTACTTTTGTGATCAAGTTAATCATCTTCAAAAATCATGCTTTTTAGACGCTAGGAAAGATTAGAAAATGTAATGAATAATGGTTTGTAGAGCTCGTTGAGGTGATTTGGCATGCTGATTAAGGATAAATTATACCCAGGTTAAACAGAATTGGTGACCTTACGGCATGTGTAGGGTAAGATGAAGAATTGCAATTCGCTGTGACTTCGTTTGTCGAGTTAATCAGCATGCTGTTCATGACAGTCATTTCTCTGGTGGAGTTGTGAGATTCGCGATCAAGCTCTTTTTCTCTTCACCTTACTCGATCGCAGTATTTCTTCAATTTGAACAAATTTGTTTCTTGATTACGACCTCTCCCCTTGCTCTTACCCCCCATACGACCCCCCAGGTCGGGCGCGCCTGACCCTACGCTTAACAATGGTCACAACCGGAATTAAGGATGAAGAAAAAAACTGCCAATACTTGCAATATTGCTCCGCAAATCTGCAATCTAGAACTTTTTGCAAAAGCTACATTTTTCAGAAACTGGAAAGATTACTTTGGTTAAGCTTCTGCAGACTATCAAGTCCTTCAATCTTTGCAAGGCACTTCCAACCATTCGTGTACATATGCCGTAAACATTGCTATGGTTTATGTCTTTAGTATTTCGTATACTCACTGCTGCTTAACAATCTTCTTGTTGCGACAAAAATTTCCAGTATTAGATCCATTTACTTTTTAA